AAACACTCTTTATACTAAGGTAAGTGTAATTTAAGTTATCTAAGAAATGTTACAAGCATGGATGTGGAATGAAACATCTTATTTTCTATTAATATTCCCAATAATGTTTTAAAAACTGAACTTCTCAGATAGAGTTTAAAGTTATTATAAGTTTATAACCATTCGAAATAGGACTTATGTTTATATGAACTTTTTAATTCAGAATGATATAAAGAATGGTTTTCTGAAGTATTGACCTTCAGTCCTAAATTACCCTGCAGATATAGATATAAAGAAATTAAAAAATGGAATACAGATGAACTAGATTCACAATTTCATGTTTTTCATGATCATAGACAAATATTTATGCTTTGTCTTATATACAAAACAGTTATAAAGCCAACCAATCAGAATGTTTTATTCATTGATTACTTTATTCTGATTGGTTGTCGTAATCATTTACAACCATTTACGACCACGTTTACGCAATTGTAGAATAGCTCTAAAAGAAGTTTTATGCAGCAGAAAATTTCATTTAGTTATCTGCGCAGATTACTCAAGTTTTCTGCACATAAAACTTCACGCATAAAACGTGAGGTATTATGCGTACCCAACTTATGCGTACTCTGTTTATAAATGCTTAAAGCGCGTGAGCGTCCAAAAGGAACGCAGCCTAATGGCTCCTGCACACAGGACGCGGTAATGCTTGCCGCGCGGCGTAAGTCCGCGCGACAGCCAATCAATATATTGTTTTTCCGTAAGAGCTAGAAGGTTATTACGGAAAGCAGCATATTTATTGGCTGTCGCGTGAACTTCCGCCGCGCGGCAAGCATTACCGCGTCCTGTGTGCAGGAGCCATAAGTAGAGGAAAAAAAAACATTTGCAAGGCCAGACTCAAATTGTGTCACTGGCTGCGTTCAGCAGAGAAAGCTGCTTTGCAACTATTGTAAAATTCGTGAATCTGATTGGTCACATGCTTTTGTATTCAACTCAAATTAAGAGCATACTCCAATCAGATTGACGAATTTCTCTGCTGAACGCAGCCACTGATAGCATGTTCGACTAGCTCTGGGTTATTCAGCCC